CTCGGGCGCTTCCCGCTCTCGACGCCGACGGGGAGGGAGAGGAGGGAGAGGAGGAGGAGGGCGACGACGCGCGCGGCGGCGCGCGCGCGGGTCATCCCGGCGCGAAGGAAGACCGGGCGACGGCGTCCGCCCGTCCGCGCGCGCGAAAGTGATCGATCGCGCTCGGTTCGAGGACAGGACGTTCGGTTCAGGAAATGACATCGCCCCGGGGGGCGCGCCCGTCCGTCCCTGTTCGTTCGTTCGTTCGTTCGTCGCGTCGTTCACGCGCTAAGATGCTAAGGCGTTCGTGCCGCGCACGATCTTTCTACGTCGCTCTGCCCTCCTCGTTTCGTCCGCGGGGACGCGCGCGTCGCCGCCCCCCGCGTCGCCGTCCGTCCGTCGATGCGTTCGTAAAAATGTTTCCCTCAGCCAACCTTCTTCACGCGGTCGTCCGTCATCGTCGGCGCGGGCGTGCTCCTCGGGAGGTGCGTGTAATCGTACAGCAGCGAGTCGCTCACGTGCTCGACCTCCTCGTCGTTCTTCCGGTCCGCGTACTCCTTCCACCACGTCTTCAGCGACGCGTCGTACGCTTCCGCTTTGCCCTCGCCCTTCGCGGGATGCGTCTCCCCCGCGGTCGTCGTCGTCGTCGTCGTCTCCGCGACCGGGGCGTCGGGAGGGACGTAGTCGTCGCCGTATATCGCGCGCATGACGTGGTCGGGGACGCGCGTCGTGCCCCGCGCGACGGACGGGGACGTCCCGGGCGGCGGGGAAGGGTTCGTCGTCATCTCGCTCGCGCGCGCGAGGTCCGAGTGAAGCCACGACGACACCTCTCGGGCGCTATCCAGTCGGTCGGGTCGGGGAAAAACACACCGCAGCAGCGAAAGGGGGATAAGCCAGGAGAGGGATTTTCTCAGCCGCCCCCTCTCTTCTTCCGACGCTCTGGGCGGCGGTCGACGGCTGGGGATTCGCGCGCGCGAGTGCGTGATCGTGTTGAACGTTCGATTGATGTTCTTTTCGTGTGGTGGTGATTATTTATCACCATTGTGTGTTCGCGCCGGCTCGCGAGGAGCGCGGCGTTTTTGAAGTGTTTTTGAAGGATCGCTCTCGTACGAAGTTCGGGGGGCTGTTTAGCCGCCGAAGCCGTAGAGGGTGCGGCCCTGGCGCTTGAGCGCGTAGACGACGTCCATCGCGGTGACGGTCTTGCGGCGGGCGTGCTCGGTGTAGGTGACCGCATCGCGGATCACGTTCTCGAGGAACACCTTGAGGACACCGCGGGTCTCCTCGTAGATGAGACCGGAGATGCGCTTGACACCACCACGGCGTGCGAGACGGCGGATCGCCGGCTTCGTGATGCCCTGGATGTTGTCGCGAAGGACCTTGCGGTGGCGCTTGGCGCCGCCCTTTCCGAGCCCCTTGCCTCCTTTACCTCTGCCAGACATGTTGTATGTGGGTGTTGTGTTTACGCGTGCGTAAAAGTGGGGCGATCTCGCGTCGGGTTCGCGTCTTCTACTGCGAAAATCCCCGAGGCGCGACTTTATACCGGGAAATAGACCGTCGTTGACGAGTCATAAAATAGGCTCGGGATTGTCAGCCCACGATTCATTCAGGAATTTTTGTAATTTTTCCAGAAGAAAATAGAGAGCACTTCCTCACGAATTCG